ACACACACACACATACACACACACACACACACACACACACACACAACACAAACACACACACACACACACACACACATACACTATTACAATCACTAACACAAACTACAAAACCAATGTTGAACAACATTCTTGTTTGCCCTATGAGTCATTTTTTATGCTTTTCATTCCTAATTTCTAACTTTTGTCCTCATCTTTTGCAGGTTTAGGTTCAAATCCTAATCCAGCTAATCTCTGTTCACTTGAAGGAACCTTTAAACTTCAAAATGGCTAGCGCGAGGATATTTTTTAGCAAAAAACGCCACCAAAGAAATGGCTTCATCAACGAGGAGGTACCTGTTGTTGAGAACGGTTATGAGATGCAAGAGTCGGACGAAGACGAGGTCTTCGTTCAGGATCCAAATCTAGAAATTTCGGCCTCAAAGCCTCTAATGCATCCGCGAAGCAAAGGTCAGAGAGCGACAGTTAAAACGAGGACTCTCGACTGCAGGCTCTGCGCTATGTGCAAACCCCTTCTCTACTTCATCGTGCTTGTATCAGTCTTGTGTGGTGTCATGGCAACCATTGTTTACGTTGCCAACAGACACAAAGTCCAGACGCATGCCGGTAAGCTCACAACAGCCTCAGAAGCCGCAGACGTTTCCGGGGTCAATGACCTCACTGGGAAAGAGGAGACGATTGTGATTGGCTGCGACAAGGTCGAGGTGGAGGACGTTTGGGTTGTGGGCGTTCCCAAACTACTCACAGAGTCGGCTTTCCGATTGGTGGACGTGAACCAAGATGGAGTATTGGATGTTGTGCTTGGGTTCGCTACTGGTGAGTGATTCTGTTACGTTGTTTGCAAATTTCATTGCATAGTGTGATTTTTTTTAAAAAATGGATCGATTTTATGATGCAATATTTTTATAAGAAAGAGCAATAGAAAACTCATGTTAAGTCACAAGTACTATACTTGCGATAAACTTTTATACCTCGTATTACAAGTGGTCAGTGTGGCCACCACCAGGGTCTCGAGCAATACTAAGGCCATAAGAGAATTCATCCGAGACGCGTTTCAGTTTCAGCATATCACGGTCCACTGAGTTGATTGGTGTTGTTATTTTAAGGTGTTAGTGGGTAGCTGTGAAACATAAATGGCATCTTTTACATATCTCACATTTTTAAAAATCACACACAGTGAGATCTTGGGATCTGGCAGGTCAAGTACAGAGAACAAGGTCTTGGTCTTGGGCCCCTTTCCGACCATTCCATAGCCGGGGCACTTTTTCATATTATAAAAAAAAGCTCAACCTATCTGATGCATTTGGGGCGTTGCTCCATTTTGTTACAAACGAAGTCGTGCGAATCTGTTTGCGGTGATGTGAAGAACCAGGTTTTGGAGCATATCGAGATAGGTTTGTCCTGTAATGGTATTTCCTTCAATGGAAGAACTACGTGACAACAGCAACACCTGTGACAGCTATTCAAAAGTTAGATAACTCCTTTCTCAAATGGAAATTGATTCATTCAATAACGATTCTTGAGAACTGAAGCATGCAATGCGTCATAAAACCGGTCTATTGTTTTTTAGAGAGAAAGAGAGAGAAAGAGAGAGAAAGAGAGAAAGAGAGAGAGAGAGGAGGGACAGACAGACAGACAGACATACATACAGACAGACAGACAGACAGACAGATAGACACACACACACACACACGCACACAGACTGACAGACAGGAGAAAGAGAGAGAAAGAGAGAGAGAGAGAGAGAGAGAGAGAGAGAGAGAGAGAGAGAGAGAGAGAGGGGGTGGTGGTCTCTCTGCCAAGACGTTGTTTATCCGTCTTTGATTTCATCAGCACGTTTTCTTGTTGTTCGTGTGAAATCAACTATAATATTATAGAACGCAACGAGTAATCAATAATAATAAATAAATGATCAATTTCATTTTACTGATCCCCTTAGTGAAATCTGGGCTTCATTGGCAAACATACAAGTACGTACATAAATACATGATTATAAATACATAAACGCAGTACAGAATAATTCCACAAACGCGCCATTGCTGGCGAGCTCTGTGCAACGCCTGATTTTTTCCTAATTATTTTTATTTTATTTTTTTCATTTTCCACTATTTTCCACCCTTTTTTCGGGGGGGGGGGGGCTGTTGTTGTTTGTTTGTTTATTTTTTTACCTAGAATTGTCGTGCCTTGTTCAAGGACACACCCCAATGACCACTCACCTGCACCCCGTGTCACCGACAATTGTTTGGCATTACTTTTGAGTCTGAACCTGCCTGGTCTGAACTTACTAGACGGCGTGCTTGCGTGAGAACTGACGTGAGTGACGTCACACCATTTCTCTCCTCCATGCTGGAAGTCATCTTGTGTCTGCATTTGAAGTTGATTACCTCCCGTCCAATTCAGGTGGTTTTAATGTGACCCCGGTGACCAACGACAGCGCTGCACGCAACACGTCAAACTATCCTAATCAGTATAATAACGATGACAATAATGATAATAATGAGAAGAAGAAGAAGAAGAAGAAGAAGAAGACGAAGAAGAAGAAGAAGAAGAACAACAACAAAAACAACAACAATAACAGCAGCAGCAGC